ATATATATATATATATATATTTTATTTTTTTATTTATTTATTTTTTATTTTTTTTATAAATGCTGTTCTTTTTAACTTTTTATTAATCAAAGAATCCTGAAAAAGTATCACAGGTTCTAAAAAATATTAAGCAGCACAACTGTTTCCAACATTGATAATAAATCAGCATATTATACTGATTTCTGAAGGATCATGTGACACTGAAGACTGGAGTAATGGCTGGTGAAAATTCAGCTTTGCATCAGAGGAATAAATTATATTTTAAAGTATATTAAAATAAAAACACATTATCTTAAAATGCAATAATATTTCACAATATTACAGTTTTTTCTGTATTTTGATCAAATAAATGCAGCCTTGATGAACTTAAGAAATATAAGAAGAACATAAGAGATCAAACTGATCCCAAACTTTTGAACGGCAGTGTATATACATAGTTTGGGGTGTACAATATGCTAAAATATTCCTCTGCAAGCAGAGGACGCAAAATACAAGTGCTGACTTAATCTTTACCTGGTTTAAACTCTCTCTCCCTGAACAAATCACTATTACCCTCTTATGATGTGGCAAATCTATAGCAGCTCATTCCATTTTGGCTCATATGAGATCTCAGGTTTTCAGCATAGGAGAATTCAGCTTAAATTCAAAGGCAGACTAGTTTCATGGCTAGAAATGCTGTCAGTGTGTAAGATGGTGGAGTGCGGTGACCTTTACCCAGAGCGCACACACTGCAGAGGAGAGCCAATAAAAGGCGGTGAAGAAAAGGAGAAAGACACTTAAAATGCTGCGTGTGTGTGAGCGGGTTATGAGGTAGTCTCAGACACCTGTGCAGCTTTATATCCAACTCTAATCCCTCTGTGATCCCACACACACACACACTCAAATGAGATTCTCGACTCATCAGTTTCTTCCATTCACACCTGATTTACAGACGGGGGCCGGAGTATATTTGAAAACACACACACACACACACACGCCCGCTGTAATCATAGCACCTCACACACACATACTCCATATGAATACACAACCTTATGCAACCATAATTATGTGCCAGGCAGACAAACACACACAGAAATGATAGCCGCCTTTATTCTCGCTTCCCTGCAAACCACGTTCCACACGACTGGCGAGAATCATTACTGGCCTTCCTCTGATACGGCTGCAGCACCAACAGCAATTATTTTTAAAAGCCCGAGCTGAAAACAGACAACCGATGCACAACACACGTGCATAATCATTATTTCTGCAGTCCAACCGGAGTGTGTGTGTATGTATGTATACATTAGGCCCTGGACAGTGGAGACACTTTATTTTTTTTATTTTTCAGTTTTATTGTTATTCTGTGGAGTTTGCTGACCATAAAATGACGAGGATGGTTATCCAAAACCAATTAGAGTTACCCTACAACACTGACAGCACTTAAAGAATGAGAGTGAGTGGTTTAAATAACTACACTGGCTCTACTGTCTGCATGAGCACTGCAGTTCTGCACATATTTCAGGAACTCCAAGAAAAAGTGTTACGGAGGGGTTTGCCAAAGTCAGAGAACTCCCTTCCTTATGGACATCACTGTTGGTTCTGGAACATTCCTATCAACCGATCAGATTTTAGGATTAAGTTCGGGTTTGTGTCTTCAGTAACATTATTATTAGTCAACCATATGAGGTAATTAAAGGGACTGTTCACCCAAAAACGGAAAATTCTGTCATTATTTACTCACCCTCATGTTGCTCCAAACACATACGAATTTGGTTAATCTTCGAAACACAAATTAAGATATTTTTAATGAAACCTGAGAGATTCCTGCCCCTTCCTCGAAAGTCCAAGCAACCAAAACTTTTAAGCTTTAAAAGTAACATGCATTATAATTTTCAGAATTAAAATTGAAAAATATTTAAGGAAATGGAAGTATATTTTATTTTTTAATTAAATTAGTAAAAAGGAAATTTACATGTTATTTTTTTTTATGCAATTAGACTCACAATTAGGTCATCTGAATAATAATAATAAAAAAAAAAATCCATTATTTTTCAGCAAAATCTTTTTTTTTCTGTTTTAATGAAAATAAAAGCATAAACTGTAAATAATATAATATAAAAGCCTAATCTGTTCATCATATAAAGTGATCTTTTCAGAAGACTTTGATTACTTTTACAATGTCTTTATAAACTTTTTAACGAAATGAATAAACAAATACTATTATGGGAAACAGAAAATGCAAATGACATTCATTTTAGTCATTTTGCACCAAATGCTGCACGTATGGTTATGAACACATGTCAGTTAAGATACAGGAGTATGTTGTTACTTTACAGGGATTTTGCATATTCTATTTCTTCCTGAATTAAGACCATACACATACATCTACAAAGCTGCAGTTATTCTAGTGGCTGATGTTCCCAAATACTTAAATACTATAGTATTTGACTACCGACGCCAAGATCGTGGGTTCGATTACCCTGGGAATGCATGAACAAAAGTATACCTTCAATGCAGTGTAAGTTGCTTTGGATAAAATCGTCTTGACTGTTGCATAACAATGTTGCATAAATATAGACTGAACAATGAATCCCAATATGCATATGCATCAGTCCTACCTCCTCCTGAGAGCACCTGCTCTCACTGTGCGCTCTCTGTAGATCTGCGCTCATCTGTCTGACTCTCTCCTCCTGAGTCTCCCTCTCCTCTGTCAGCTGGATCAGGCACTGCTGCAGACGGGCCTGCTCACTCCTCTGGGCCGTCACCTCTCGACTGTACTCAGCCAGCTAGAACACACAGCTAACTGGTGATATCTGTCTCCAGTGTGTTGGCATGGTTCACATTGTGTCTGTGTGTTAGTGGAAGTGAGCGTACCAGCTCCATATACTCTTTATGAGAGGCCTGTGCTGTGCTGAGCTCCAGTCTCAGCTCTCTCCCTCTCTGATCGGCCTTGGCTGCCTCTCGTATCCCCTGCCGCCACATCTCCCGCTCCTGCTCCAGATCCAGCTTCAGCCTGGACACTGTAGCCTGCAGAGCGCTCATCTGAGAAAAGAGCAGCAAGAAATGCAACATTTAATTTACACTACTGTTCATAGATTGGGGTCAGTAAGATTTATAGATTTATTTATTTATTTTTGAAAGAAATTCATATTTTTATTTAACAAGCATGCATTAAAAAGCTTTCACATTGTCACAAAAAAAAAAAGATAAAAAAAAAAAAATACTGTTCTTATGAACTTTCTATTTAACAAAGATTCCTGAAAAAATCTATCATGGTTTCCATAAAAAATATTAAGCAGCACAACTGTTTTCAACATGGATGATAATAAGAAATGTTCAGAGGAAGAAGATTTAGATTTTATTTTCTGTTTTCTGTTTTCATTTGAATTTTAGTTCAAGTTTTAATAACTTTGTTGTGTTTTTGTAATTTTTTTAATGTCTATATAGTTTTTTTATTAAGTTTTAGTTTCAGTTTATTTAGTTTTTTTAAAATAAAACTTAATGAATCTTAAGAAACGAAAATGAGAAATGTTGACTTGATAACTAGCTGAAATAAAAAAAATACACATTTTTAATATTTTATTTTATTTCAGTTGTTTATTTTTATTCAAAGAATGTGTTTTTTTTATTATGGTTTTAGTTTTAGTTAATGATAATAACCCTGTTTCTAAAGGAACATGTGACAATGAAGACTGGAGTAATGACTGCTGAAAATTCAGCATGGTCATCACAGGAATACATTAAATTTAAAAATGTATTACAACAGAAAACAATTATTTTAAATAGTTATATTATTTTACATTATTTCTGTTTTAACTGTATTTTTGTTTACATAAATGCAGCCGTAGTGAGCATAAGAGAGTTTTAAAAACATTGTTTCTTTTAAAAACATAAAAAAATAAAAATCTTACTGGCCCTCAACTTTTGAACAGTAGTTTACACCACCATAAAATATGACATTTTCTTATTACTCCTTTAAAACCATACTGGTTAACCAGTTTAAGTAGCATAGTACAATATAGTTAAACAACTGCAGGTCCCCGCCAGCTGATACAAGGTGCTCTGTCCAGGTTAACCGATATGGCCACTTTTGTTCCTATAGTGACTCATAGTCCAATGATTAATCACTCAAACTTGTTTGTACCAGCTAATGACTAGGTTTGGATGGGTTATAGCACCTGGAGCTTAGGCTGGATTATTAATATATGGTGTTCCCATAATACCTCTTGGTAGTGTTTCTGCACTTGCTCATCTCTGGTCTCCAGTTCTCTCCTGCACAGCTGCAGCTGAGTCTGGCTGTTCACCTCTTCTTCCTGCAGTCTGTGGATGGTGAGCTGCAGTTCAGAAACAAGCTCCTGATGTGTGTTTAGAAGCTTCTCCTGTTCACACATCTACAGCACACACACACACACACACACACACACACAGACACAGACACAGACACAGACACACACAGAAGATGGATATTGGATGGATGGATTTGGAAGGTTACAGTATGTTTACATAGTACCTTAAACTCTTTTATTTTCAAAAGATCAAGGCAAATTTTAATCCTCATGATATGGCCTCCTAACAGTGCAAAGCATCACAGATAAACTGGAAAGATGTGGAGGGAACTAGAGATATACTCCAGCATGACAGATATTAAACTGGGATTAGGGAGATTAATTTGAAACTGCTACTGACTTTTGGATCAGATCTATGAAAGTTTCTAAAGATAGATGAGCAAATTTACAAGCAGATGAACAGCTTTGCTTCAGACTAACATCTCTTCAGCACCGAGAAGAGCAATAAAATCATATTTCCTTCTGATCTTTAAATATTTGCATCATTTAAACTATATTATTTCTGAATTATTTTCCAAATGAAAACAAATCGATATATGGAGACATTTTTCTATAAAACCAATTTTTTCACATTTTTACTGAGTTCACAGCAAAATGGATTCAAAGTCTAATTTAAACATGAAAATAAACAGAATATTTTAGAATTTTAAGGGATTTAAAACAAACAAATAAAAAAATAAGACATAAGATATTAAATAATTAGCACTATTTCTAGGTCACTAATCAAATTACCAAAAATATGACACAGTCCATATGAACTCTTTGCACAGAGTCAGATGTTCTTTCTTCCAATGAAGCACAAGATGGATTATTCTCAAATCATGCTGGATATCTCAAGTATCAAGTCTTCCACAAACATATCACGGCAAGTATCAAGCCTTCCACAAAAAAAAAAATCACTCATATGAGAATGCATCCACCGTATGAACGCATGCAAGCATGCGCGGATCCTCTTCGTGAAGCACCTTTGTTTAATAATACTGCCGTTTAAAGCCCTGAATCAGTGCAGGATGAGTGTAAAGTGGCTCTCACCTTAGTCTGCAGGGCTGAGAGGGTCTCTCTGTTGACATCCAGTTCTTCCTGGATCTGCTGATTCTCCTGCTGGAGTCTCACGGCTTCCTGTCTGCTGCTGCTGGCCTCTGTCTTCACACGCTCCAGCAGCCTCCTGAAGAGGACAACATGAGCCTTATTTCACCAAACTCCATCCTCCACCAGTCCTGACAACTTAATATGAGTTTCAAAGGATGAAATCACCCCATCCTGCTGGAAATCGTTTTTTTTTTTTTTTTATTGCGGGCCGCCAGGGATGATCTACGGGAAGCTGGATCATACCAAACCAGCTCTAACCAGCAAAAACCAGGCCGGAATTTATAATATTTCAAAAGGTTAGTTCACCCAAAGATGAAAGTTCAGTCATCATTTACTCACCCTCATGTCAGTCAAAACACATACAGTTAAAACTTTCATTCATCTTTTCGAAGTGTTGGTGGAATGGACTTTCAGTGGGGGGATAGAAATATATCAGGTTTCATTAAAAATATTTTCGTTTCTGTTTTGAATGTGAATGAAAGTCGTACGGGTTTGGAGCGACATGAGGGTGAGTAAATGATGACAGAATTTTCATTTTTGGGTGAACTATCCCTTTAAGCTTAGTCCTTTGTAGCCAGTATAAAGTCTGGTACACTTTGCTTCTTATTCTGGCCAAGAACCACCCATTTTCAGCATAAGAGTCTGTCCTTTGTCAAGCTTTAAAGAAGTAAACTTATTTTAATGTGTTAACTAACATACTATTGTAAAGTACTTGATTATAATTTTAACTGCAGTGCGTTACGCAATATTACATTTAACTCTTTCCCCGCCAGCGTTTTTGAAAAAAGTTGCCAGCCACCGCCAGCATTTTTGATCATTTTCACAAAAATTTCATGGCTTCCAGAATATTTTGTTGTATGAATATCTGAACATGCAATACATCAAAATAAAGAACAGTGCCACTACTTTTAAACAACAACAACAACAAACAATTCGTTTTATTCAAGCTTCAAGCATTCTTTTTTTATCAACACCTGTATGTAGGTAAGTTTCATAAAAAAGCAACACTTTGATCAAAAAGCTGAGAAAATCGCATTTTTATCAAAGACTACATCTGGATCATATTCATTCCGATGATCAAAGCATAGATGCAGTAGAGCGCTTCCATCAACACCCCCAAAGCTTCACAGTCCTTTACCACTTCCGGGATCGCCATTTCACTCGGTAACATTAGGCAGTTTTCATTTATATGCCGTTTATTGTTGATGATCGCATTATTTTTCATATGCATCTGCTTACATAAGAGATTGTTCATTTCTGCTTCTTCCTCGTTTGTGTTTTTGATCAGGACGTTCTAGACTCATTCAGGAGATGCATAATAG